CCCAACGATTAATTCTGATGTCTCCTGTGAACAATTGGAAAACTGTACAAATCAATCAACGATAAGCGGCCTGAATTGGTAAATCGTATGTTATATTCCACCAGGACAATGCTAGTTCGCATACACCTTTATTCCCTCGTCAAAAACTGAGATAGCTTGGCTGGGTATTGTTGATGCATTCGTCAAAATAACCCTGACCATGCACCGTCAGATTACTATTGGGAAGGACCTCTCCGAGCCGTCCGATTCCAACGAGGTTTCAGATAGAGTGACTCCTTGTCGTGTGATTTCTTCAATTTGATGCTGGAGAGAATAATAAGAGCTGCAGAGCTGAATAGGGAAGGTACAAACTTCTATAAGAGTATACAGCTGCTGACGTATCAAGGGCGTATTTTTGGCCTCAAAAACCACGCCGTGAGTTTCTCCACACTCGATAAAGAAGCGAAGCGAATGGGTCTGGTAGTGAACGAGGACAATACTGTTACGATTTTACTGAATCAACCTCGATTATTTTCTAGATCCTTCGGGTACGATCTCTGGATTGTTAAATAAAAACTCGCCAACTTAATTTGCAGTTTCTTTCGTTATAAAGATTCTATCTAATGTCCTTTATTTTCTCAGTAATTCACAATTCAATTATACTGCACTTTACTATTTATAATCACTAACATCAACTTTCACAATTTCCTCTACTTAAATGTAATTCCCAACGCGTTCACTTTACGTCTTCACTGATGTTAACGCCAACCAATTTGCTTTGTCACTGCTTGACTTGCAGCTGAGTGTCGCCTTTATATAGCAGTCGGCTGCTCGCAGACGAAAGCGTAGAAGCATCGAATTGTTCGCTATGGAAGGTTCTTGTTTTATCGTACTAGTTATCGGCTTCTCTCTTTCATCTGACATTCGCCTCGCATTTTCGCAACAATACGAAATATCTCCTGTCATCAAACAAACAGTTATCGCATTCGCAACTTGGCTCCCTTATCACTGTTAACAGTCATAACTTTGAGGTCGTAGATGACTTCATCTATTTAGGAACCAGTATTAGCACCAACAACAATGCCAGCCTTGAAATCCAACGCAGAATCACTCTCGCCAACAGAAGCTGCTTTTGACTGAGTAGGCAATTCAAAAGCAAAGTCCTTTCCCGACGAACGAAAACCAAACTCTACAAGTCACTCATCGTTCCCATCCTGCTATATGGTGAGGAAACATGGACGATGACAACATACATCTCATGAGATAGCGTTAGGAGTTTTCCAGAGAAAGCTCATGGAACGATGAGCTATACGAGTTAAATGTCGACATTAATATAGGTCAGTGCATCAAGAAGCAGCGCCTACGCTGGCTAGGTCATGTGCGGATGGATGCGACTACTCCAGCTTTGAAAGTTTTCGATGCAGTTCCAGTGGTAGCAGCGCAAGACCTCTACTACGTTGGAAAGACCAGGAAAAGAAAAATTTGATTGTTGCGCCAAAAAGAAGAAACGAATGGCGCAATGTTGTTAACTCGGCTATAATCGCGCTAACGGTGCCTACGCCAGGCCAGTTTATGGGAATGTTCTTCATAACGCTAAAAATATTTTTAATATAATATTTTAAAGAATTTCGATTTTGCACTTAATTTTTCACAGTGTAGCAAGAGCAGGCATTAATAGGTGAAAGGAAGCCCAATAAAAGATTTGAAATATTATTTTAACAGAGCAAATGGAGTGGTTTGCTATTGCTTTTTTTATTATTATAATTATTATTATATTTTCATTAAAACTGCAGGTAATTTGAAATGGATTACATAAAGTGTTTCTAGTTTTCTAGAAACCATTTCAACTACAAAACCAATGCAATCGTGCATTAAGATATAAAAGTCCCAAAAAAAAAAGACTGTGCTGTGCAACAAAAAAAAAAAAACAAAAAAAAACTTTATTCAAAGAGTGCTAGTTTGTATATATGTATGTACATATGTATGTATCTAGTACCAAAAATGCTGGTATCGATGTTTGGCAAATAAACCATTAACATTCAACAATTGTCTCTCTTCGTTCGTTGCGTTACAAAAGTCTGTTTTCAAATTTCATTCTTTTTGTTTTTCTTCTATTTCGTTAGCCAAGAATTTCATTGCAGTCACGTAGAAGGTTGAAGGAAAAATGTCAATGAAAGAACAGAAAAGAATTAAATACGTAAAAAGATTAAAAAAATGTGGTTTTTCAGGCTGTAAGTCTTTCCCTTGCTCTAACAAATACTAACACCCAAAGCAAATATATATCATATTTATATACCGTTGTTTACCGATGTGCATGTGTGTGAGTTACATTTGTGTTTGTGTTGGTTTGGAGAAAATCATTTGAGTTCAACAGGTCCAAAACCATTTGCTACCGGTTTTAGTGTTTGTGGCAGCAACAAGTTGCCAAATATTGCCAACTTCGGGACAAACAGTTGTGCTGCCAGCAGATACAGACAACGTTCGTAGAAATGCAATGTATATGAATGTAATAATGAAAATATGCGTTTATATAGTAATTTGTGGTATTTTAGTTAGAAAGCGCTAAAAAAGGTTATTAACTATATATATATATATATATATATATATTAATTTTATATAGTTAGGACCCTTTGAAAATAAGTTTTGTTGCTTTTATCTTTTGGTTTGGATCTATATATACATATGTACTTTGTGCAATCGATTTGTGCCAATTTGCTTGGGGTCTATGAGCATTGTTAAATTGGCTATTAATTTTTATTACTCAATAAATGTTAATTTCTATATTTCATATTGATTTTTTATATGTTTTTTTAATTTAATAACTTGCATTGAGAGCCATTGTTAAGCAATTATACAGCCTAAAAGTAGTATAGCATAATACAGTGGTTAAATCAAGTTGAATTTTCTAATTGAGGTCGCCCTCCGGCAGGGAATTTCAACCTCTTCGTGTGTATTCAGACATGGAAATCAAAAGCTCCTCATAAAAAACCAGCATCGGAGGCGGCTTAGTATAAACGGTAGGTTCCTCCATTTGTTGGAAAAACATCAAAACACAAAAGAAACGAATTGGAGAAAGAGCTCGGCTATAAATCGCTATGCGGTAACAAAGTGCCAATTATATATATATATATAACACAGTGGCTCTGAAAATGAAAGTTTTACTTAATTTTTTTGTCTACTGATTTTGCATAAAGACCTCAGCATGAACGCTTATAACATCCAATTGATACCAGAACTAAAGGTGTTGAAGCTTATATTGCCTTCATTCATGCGGCATCTGGAATGTACGAGTGATTGAATGTGTTTATAAAGGGAGATTTTTAAAGAGCTATAGGAAAGTTTGAAAAAAACACATGAAATAGCTCCACAAAAAATAGTCTAAAGGCGTTAAATCATACGATCTAGGCGGCCAATTGACCGGCCCCTAACGTGAAATTAAATGTTCACCGAACTAGTCTCTCAATAAGTCCATTGTAATGCGTGTTGTGTGGCATGTGGCGCCATCTTGTTGAAACCACATGTCAAGCAAGTCGAGCTTTTGAATTTCGGGCAAAAAAACTTTGATATCATCATCATCATTCATAGTTCCGTTACGATTTGCATCATCTTTGAAGAAGTACGATCCAATGATGTCACCAGCCCATCAGCCGCACCAAACTGTGACTTTTTCTGTATGCTTTGGTAGTTCTTGCAATGCCTCTGGTTGATCTTCACTTCAAAATCGAGAATTCTGCTTATTTACGCAGCCATTACGCAAAAAACTAGTTCCGTCAATGAAAACAATTTTTTTTTGGTCATTCTTAACAGATTTTGATAATAAGATTCAATAATTTGCAAGCGTTGTTCGTTTGCAAGACGAAGATGTTTGACAGTGATACAAAACACGAAACGTGCGTCAACTGTTTAAATCAGATAATAGCTAAAAAATCACCCTTTATAAGTCGAGAGATATGGAAGCAAGGAAAGTTAAATTTGTTTCCCTCCATAAAGGCGGTTGGTGCAGTAATCGCGGCTTGAAAGACAGAAATATTTAGACCCATCACTGTGACCGATGGAATCGTCTTCCGCTCATTCTGACATGCTAGGGAAGGACAAGGTGGCATCCACTATGCAGAAGGTTTTCGTGTGTTGGTCGCGTTTTACATATGTAGATTTAACGTGGAGTTTTTGGGCTATTAAACTCAATTTTGTAGAAGCTTAAGGTGATTAGCTGCCAGCGCTGCTACATACATATAGTATGTACAACCCTTGCCTGTTAATTGGCCTAATATCCAGCATGACTTCTGTGGCCTCTTTTGAGCTTTTCCAAGTCTATTGGTACATTGCAGCTGACGGTTGTGCAAAGCCAGTGCACCATGTGAGGTTAAAACTTCAGTTTGATTCAATAACTCTTTCAGCTTAGTTACTTAAGAAGGTTTACACCGAAATACTTCACATAGTTGGAGGGTATTATAAGGTGTTGGGTTGAATGGCTGAACTTTTGCCTATTTTCTATTTAATACATATACATTATACATTACACATATCTATGTATGTCCGGCAGAACAGACCCAGCAAAGTATGTCGAATTCGGTGAGTGCGGAAAAAAGAGAAAGACTTGTGGAAGATCCCCAAACTCCAGTTTTATGCAGCTTGGCTTACATGGTTGAAAGAAAATAACTAATAAATAGCTACGGCAACCCTATTTGTGAACATCGTTGTTAGTGCCACTAAGCCAGTTAGTTTTCAAATCCGAATGCTAGAGGTTAGTAAGAGCGATTTTGTGGTACTTCACTGCCAACAAAAAAGTTGTCGCTCAGAGCGAAGTTAGTGGACAACGAGTAGTTTTAGTGTAAGTGAGAGCCAGGTTCTTTACTGCCCCACATACACATGTATTTGGTATGAGTGAACACATACATACAAACACCGCTGAGTTAAGACTCAGGCAAGTAAAGTGAAATGAAGCCAAGCTAAGGGAGACCGCACAAAGCATGGAGACTATTGGCTAGCGGCTTAGTGAACGAACTTAGGTGCAAAGCAAGCGACCAGAAATGTCAGCACCAAATTGACATTTCTCATTCGTTTTCTTTCGACCTCCAACTGTATTTGACGTTTTGACTTTGTTGCTATTGACGTTTGCTTTGGTCATTACCGTACCCATTCCGTCCGTCCCATTTAAGCAAGTTGTGTGTGTTACTTTGTTGGTCTGAGCTGTGCTGTTTTGTTTATTTCAGTGTTTCGTAATAATTTTGTTTTTCTCTAAATTTTAGTCAAGTGCATTGTTATTGTAAAACTAATATATTAATAATTGCTTATTGTTGAACTTTGCCACAACTCGAGTTGGTTGGTGTTGGACTAAAAGAAAACGACATGTGTTCAAATAGAATTTTACTACAAATTCTGCTAATCTGCGTTGCATTGAGTGGCACGACATTGGCCATTAATTGCTACGTCTGTGATGCCTCCGATACGAAGACACCCTTCCAGTGTGGTGAATGGTTCGAACGCTTCGACGAGCCAGATATACAGCCGCAGAACTGTTCCAATGTGCATGAAGCCAAGTACTGTATTAAGCACATAGGACGTTATGAGGGCGGCATTGGTGCGAAACGTTTCTGCTCGTCCAAAGATTTGGGTAATTACTGTGATTATGTGAAGAACAAAGGTGATCGCATGGATTATCGCTCGTGTATCTACACTTGCGACACGGACGGTTGCAATGCAGCAGGTAGCCTGAGACCATGGATTCTGGCGGTGGTCGGCGCATTGTTGTTGGCCAGTTTATGGCGTTGTTGAGTGCATGCTGCAATACTCGATAAATTCAATTAAATCAAATTCCTATAATAACAGTCTATGCAAGTGCCTTGTATTCTTCGAATAGTTAGTCTAACGTACAAATTGTTTTCATTCAAAAAAGTAGTATAAAAAACATATTTTAAATAAAATTTTAATTCAAAAACTTGCTTTTGTTTTCATTTTTGCTTCGATTCTTCTTTATCACACATTGCTTAGTTTCAGTACACGCCTAGATTTAGTTTACTCACTCATAGCGCTCTCAGTGACGTCATGCTCATGAGTATATGTGGGCTTAGAAATGGAGTATAATAAGCCGTAAGCCTGGCTTACTTACTCCAGCACTCAAAACAAATTTCTGCTCTTCAAAAGGCTCTCTTAGCCAATTAAGCCAGTTATTCCACTCAAACTCAGTCTCTTTCTTTTCATCACTTCTGAAAAAACTCTATCGAAAATCTAAAAGCATTTAGTATTTCCGATTGAAATGTTGAATTTTTGTATCAGTGGAGCTTCTTTGTAGCTTGCTCAATTGGCACAATCTTTAATTATTTGAACGTTTGACCTCCAGCGAATTCTTGATTGCCATTTTAATTGGCTCATACTTGTGCCCTTTGTTGTACGTTCTGTAAGTGCATGATAAGGGGGGTGCATTTCGAGGTTCCTTAGTTTTTTTAAAGAAAAAAATACAGAAATTTCAAATTTAATGTGGAATCTTCATTATCATTCGAAAGAACATTTTTTGGCATTTATTTTTTGAAGATTATCTCTCTTAAATATCACAGATAGTCCAACCGTTGAGCTCAATTTTCAAAGACTCGTCCTATTATTTCGACTGGTAACTGGGGAATGACAATTCTAATGCTTTGCTCCAAGACCTGAATCGAAGTGGAGTTGTCCATATAGCCTTACGACTTTACATATCCCTATAGGGTCACACGATCTTGGTGTCCAATCGGCCGGTCCAAAATGTGAAATTATCTGCCCACCGACGTGTGCTCGCAATAAATTCACGGATTGTTGCTGTGGGTGTAGAAGTGGCGCCGACTTTTTGAAATGTCACCAAGATCACGAGCTTAAATTTTAGGCATCAAATAGTCGGTTACCATGGCGCGATAACGATCACCATTAACATTCTTACCGGCATCATTTTAGAAGAAATATGGATCGATGATGCTTTCCACGATGAAATGCCAAATAATACTGGAAAAAAATATCATGGCAACTGGACACGTCTAATGTGTGATCTATCAAAAAGAGACTATTGAAAAGAGTACCTCTACTTGGATTATATTTACAGAGATAAAAGATGTCAAACTCGTCACTAAACTCTTGGTGAAATATTATCTTGATAAGTTACATACTTTCGATTAAGTTTTATGATATATATTTTCTAAGAAGTCCAATGAAATTAAAGCAATCTGCCGCAAATCCAAGCACCTTGGTTGACACAGGATAAGAAGAGATCACGAGATATGTACTCTTCCAAAGCAATAGTAGTTCTGGCAGGCCAGACGAGAACGCGGAGAAATTAGGGACACCCCATAGAAGATGCTGCAGGAGCTGTAAGAAGGGTGAGGAGAAGGAAACCATCACCCGTATAAGAGATACGACTATCCTGCTTTGAGCAGGGCTTGGTTTCGGAATTTTAGGACCCTATTGGCAGGGAATGTCGATCCCTCAGAGTGTATTTCTGGCATGAGATAAAGCTCCTCATAAAAAAAACAATCAGCCATTCGGAGGCGGCTTAGTATAAACTGTAGGTCCCTCCATTTGTAAAAAAAAAATATCAAGAGGCAAAAACACAAATTGGAGGTCGGCCAAAAATCGCTTCAGTGGTTACAAAGCGTCATTTATATACATATGTATATATATATTGCTGGATCGTCCATCGAATATAGCCATGGCGAAAGTCGGGGATCTAATGAGGTTCACTGGGGAATCAAAATAGCTCTTTAAAAAAGACAAATAATCAAGCTTTTTTGCCATCACAATAGATCTTAGTTAGGCTCAAGCGAATCTGATATGTTAGATCGGTAGCCGCTACAATCAAACCTAACATAAAATAAGGGTTGCGTTTGAGAACGGCAATCGTACTAAAATTTATGAATTGAGTCTTTGCACTGTCTAGCTGATTGATGTTCTCGATAAAATTAAAACTGATATCAGCGCCATCAAAGAGACGCAACGCAAGACGAGTCAAGGACGCATGGGAGTGAGGGCTTGTGAAGGGTGCTAAGGTGTACGCATGAAGTACAGCTTTGATATTGGATTATAGCTGATCGAGTTCGGCCACAGTGGGCTTGTATATATAGCATAAGAAGACTCATACAATCTTATTACTGTTTACGGTTTGAAAATCTCGTAAATAAATCGACAATATCCACAGTTTTCCAGAGAACGGTCGCCTCAGGATCGTTTCTATACAATTATCGTCAATAACCAAAAAAAAAAAAATGGTTTTATATCGGCATGCTGTAATTGAATAGTTAGCGGAAGCCCCCTTGTTACAGAAGGTTCCAATTCATCAAACTATATTATAGACTACGATGAAGCTGTGATAACAATTGCGCCCTTAAGAACAACAAAGCAGCGGGAGTTGGCTGAGCTTTTCATATAAGTCGGAAAAGAATTCATAAAAGGTATTCAATAGTTCTTTGAAATGTTCTGCCTGTTGTAAGCATGACCCACCTTTTACTCTAACGATTACTGTCAACGCTGTAAGGACGAAGAAGAGGAAGAGACTATCTCCCACTGTCCAGCCTTTACATCCGCACGACACAAGTTTCTTGGCAAACACTTCTTCGACTATCTCGATCATTTGAGAAGGTGAAGGCAGGAGCCTCACAATGGCCCTATTGGCCTAAGTCTGCTGGAGTCGACCAGCAGTCGCATCAACTCAACGATTGAAATCTAAGTGTGTTATGTTAAATACATCAGAAGAGGGAACCCACCATCAGCACCTTTTATAGTGGTAAAGACCGCAAATAAAAGCTAAGCAGAACCGCAAGGCGGTAGGCAACAAACGCGGTTTCAGACTAGTTGATCCTACAACCTAATTCTAGAGAAATTATTTTCAAGACTAGTTAAGGAAGCTAGGCGAATCGGTCTGATAGTGAACGAGTCGAAGCCGAAAAATTTCGACTGTAATCAAACTAAGGTGCGTTTCAAAGTAAACAGGACTTTTTGAATCTAGCGCCGTCTAGTGGCACCATCTATATGTCGACTCTGCTATCCTTTATCGACTTCCAGTAAAAATTTCATGACATTTCATCTATTGAAAGTGAAGTTATTGAAATTGACTGACGACCAAAAATTACTCAGAATTCAACATTCGAAGGACATCATTGAAGAGGCAAAAAAAGACCCGAGCTTGCTATACAAGATTGTTACTGGCGACGAAACGTGGTGTTTTCAATATGATCCCGAAACGAGACATCAGAGTGCTGAATGGAAGGCGCCGGGCGAGACGGAACCCAAAAAATCGCGCCTGCAGTAGTTAAAAGTGAAGACAATGCTGATTTGTTTTTATGATTCCAAGGGTATTGTCAACAAAGAATTTGGTCCCTCCAGCCAAAACGTTAATGCGGTATTCTACCTTGGAGTTCTGAAGCGTTTGGTGCGTCGCATTCGACGTGTTTGGCCCGAATATCGCGAAGATAGAAGTTTGCGTTTGCTGCACGATTATTTGACCAAAAATCACATTTTAACAATCAACCACTCTTCTTTTCTACCTTTTCGGAAAAATGCATTTGCTGATGAAGGAAAAGCTTTATGAGGACGTGGATGCCATTCAAAAGGCTTGCACTGGCATAATGGCGTCCATAGCGTGAAACCAGCTAAAACACTCGTTCGAAATGCTTTTGGACCGTGCAAAAAGCTGTGTTAAAGCAGAAGGAGACTATTTTGAATAAAATTAACTGATTTTGCCGATAAAATCAATTGTTCTGTGTTTTTTTAAAGTCATGTTTACTTTGGAACTTACTGTACTTTAAGCTTTTTATCATAATAGCTCCCACATTACCGTTGACAGTCATTATTTTGATGTCGCGGTCGTTAACATCAGAAACAATATCATGCTTGAAATCACTCTTGCCAACAGCTGCCACCTTGGACTCAGTAGGCAATTGCAAAGCAAAGTCTTTTCCCGACGAACGAAAACCAAACTCAACCAGTCGTTGATTATTCTATTGTATCTCGACTGTACGTTGCAAATGTTCCAGGATAACGCTATCCAATGAGATGGCATACAGAATATTCTAGAAAAAGGATTCGGGATGGGTAAATAGTATAGACGATGGGGTTTATGAAAAATGTATTGACATAGACTTAGTTCAATGGATTGGCCAGGTCAAGTCGTCCGAAAAGATTAAAAGCAAAGTAGGAAAAGGAAGACTACTCTTCCATTACGTTGACATTGAATAGCTAAAGAAAGAAAAGATAAGCGTGCTTTTGTTGGCTTGGCTATAAGCGTGTAAGCGACGACTAGACGGCTGGATTTATTTTGCGTCTTCGAGTGGTTGGAAAATTTTAATGAGGATTTTATTGGTTGATAAATACATTCAAAGGTATTGGCTCTCCCTACCAGGCCTGTATATTTCCTCTTACTCAGTCTATCTGAGGTGTTTATCGCACAAACAACGGTGGAAAAAGTAAACTATTGGTGATTAGTAGTATTTTATTTATTATTTAATTTTTTATGAAAGGAATAATAAATAATTCTTCGACATTAAACCAAACGGTTTGCGGTTTTTAGTTGTTTTATTTATTTTTATTTCAAATTTAATTCGTCGCTTTGGTCATGCCTATTTTTGTAAGCTTAAAATTTACAACTTAGCAAGATCACAACTATTGAAAACAATACCGTCAGCTAAGCAAAATTCAAAGCCAACAAACAATGCTTGGTATTTAAATTTCGTATTTGCTGATTTGTGAATTTCGCTAATTAAATTCGACACTAATTTCGAGAACAATAAATTTAAAATAAAATAAATGACAAAAATAAAGCTTATGCAAATAATAAACCAAAAGTAAATCACAGAGCATTGAAGTGAAATTTTTTTCTTTATATGAAAGTTAAATGTTTATTCAAACTGAAAGTTGTCAGCCGCCACAGCCACCCAGCGACAGCCAATATAAGCAGTTTAGAACAAAAAGTTGGAGCAATAA